ATTCTTTGTAACACGTGGCTGGTTGGGAGACCTCCTCAGAATCACCCTATGAGTGTCCACCTCAGCTCTTGGTATGTGGCCCCACACATCCACCATGCCGGTCAAGACCGGGGGGGTGGGGTGGGGGGGTGTCAACAGCGACACCTGGTGGCAGCCATCAAAACTGCACTGCTGCTTGACAGCCCAAATTCAACCTCCTACCCTGCTCCAGCTGGGCCTCTAGCATAAGAATGATCCTCTGAACTGACTAAACTCCAAAGGATATGGACTCAAGCTATACGAAGCTTGAGCTTGAAAAGTAAAAAGAGCTGTGGCTGTGTTTGACCCTCAGCAGGCGAAGCAAGTCATGACACTGATAATTATATTTAACTACACATTGACTTTTTGGTAATAAAGATGTTATGCCCATTGTATGCACAAAAAGACCCAGGCCCGTTCATGTGCACAATTTCATGAAGATGCACACAGTCCACCCACAAAATGTCACCCACATATTCAAAACCACAAACATGGCCTTTCCCAACTTTTCCCTCTGGCTCTGCCACCATCCTTACCCCACTGGGTCCCTGAGGAGAGCAGCAGGCCAGGCGGATGGAGCTGTTGACGGAGGCGAGTTGTTCCCGAAGACTTTCCACCTCCCGTTGGGCAGCCTCGGCTCGCTGGGGGGGGGAAAGGGGGCAGGTATGATTAAGAGGTGAGGGGGGCCACACTGGATCCCAACCTGGCCCCCCTCTGCTCCCCTGCACTGTCTCAGACAGCAGCTGGGAGGCAGGTCTGAGGACCTGGGGTTCAACTTTCTGAGTCCTGGGCCCCTGAGTTGGCTCTGGTTTCCCCTGGTGTGTTTGGGACTCCAGGAGGAGCTAGAACGTTCCCACTCCACTAGGGCAGGAAGGGAGGTGCTGTCTTGATGAGTCTGGCAAGTTTTTGCATGTTCCCAGGCCACTTCTGTCTGCCAAGTACACTTCAGGCTTGGCTAGTCAAAAGGCCAGAGCTTCTCCCCAGCTCCTGTGCCATGCACTGTCTGCAGAGGTTGGCTCCAAAGCCCACAAGCTGTTGCAGGTCCCTGGGCAGGTTACTTCCCCTCTCTGGGTCTCAGTTTTCCGTTTGTGAAATGGAGGCCATGAAATACAACTACTGTAGAGCAGCATTGAAATATATTTAAAATCAGAATGCCACAGCTGACCAAACTGAATCTTAACTCTTCAAAAATTTATAAGAAAAAAGCCTGGAAGGAGGCTTTCAAAAGTTAACAATGTGGACTTGGGGCCTGGAAAGACATCTGGACTTTATCTCTTTCTGGCTGTGTGACCTTGGGTAAGAAATTTCATATCCCTGGGCTCAGTTTCCCTGTCTGCAAAATGGGGATGATATGCACAACTACTTCATAAGTCTGTTCTGCACATAAGTGATGTGGTAAAATACAATTCATTAGGTATCCCACCTTGATGCCTGACCCATACAAATATGTCAGTAACTGGATCCCTTTACTAACAACAACAGGGATGGAATCTTGAACTGTTATTAAAATGAAAAGAGCTGCAGCTGTGTTTTGACCCCCAGCTAGTGATGCAGGTCAAGTGATTAAGTTTAACTTACACACTGATCGCAGCAATCAGTATGTTGTGCCCACTATATGTGCACAGAGACTCACACACATTTATGCACACGTTTTGTTGATTTATCTTTAAAATGATTTGTTTATTTATGGTATCCTGCCTTGTTTCAAAAATAGTTCGAGTTAGGAGTCAGCTTTGTTTGGGGAAAGGATTTGGGTGTGTGTGGGGTCGTAGAGAAAACATTTTTATGTTTCCACACAGTTAGGGCTCTCTGAGTAAGTGGGACTAAGACCTGAGGTCTGGGCTAAAAGACAAGCCTTGTAAATATCAACACATGACTGATCAGCTAGTTAGAACTCCAAAGATCCACCTCCTGGGAGATGCCTGTTGACATTTCAGGGGGGCATGAGATCCAGACCATGAAGACATCCTCTGGGTTGTAAAGATGAATTTAAAGTTACTAGTCTCATCTTCCCCCGGAGAGAAGTATTTACATTCCAAATGCTAGAAACCCAGGATCCTCGCCCTTCTGTTCATGAAGATACTTGAGAGCAGATTTCTCTCCCTTTCTCAGAAGGTTCCTCTCCTATACAACCACCCGGATTCATATTTTTGGGGGCATCCCTTGCCTACAGCACAAACCCCGGTACATGCAGGACATCTGGTTCTCGGCTCATCACCCCAGGGGAACAGCGGGGGAAAACTGGCATGGTTTTTACTATGCAAGTAATAATAACCTGCTCCAGAATCCTCTTGCTCATATTTAAGATAGTATTAATAAATACAGATATTAAAGACTAATACGGTGACATGTCCTTTTTTCTCAATACTTTATAATGAGCAGATTTTGTTTTATACTCAGAAAAAAGAAACATTATAAAAAATGCTTCCTATTCAGACTACTCTAAGATCTCTCTTCTTAAGCCTGTTTGGCAGAAATCCAAAAGTTTGATGCCACATGGTGCTGGCGAGGCTATGAGAAAACAGGCCCTCTCATCTTGCTGAAGGGGGTGTAACCCCCTGGTAAACCCATGGAAGCCAGTCTGGCCACATCTGCCAAATTATAAGCACCCGGCTCTTTCACCCAACAGTTCCACTTCTAGGAACTTGCCCTGTGTAGTGGCTTGGCTATGTATGAAATGATATCTGTACAAGGTTATTCCCTGCAGTATTAAGGATGATGGTTAGAATACTGGAAATACCACCAAAAGGGTATGAGTTAGATCAGAGGTCAGCAAAATGCAGCCTGCTGCCTGTTTATGTAAATAAAGCTTTATTGGAACACAGTCACGCCCATTCACTTCCATATTGTCTATGCTGTCACTCTACCGTGGCAAAGTTTTGAACAGTTTTGACAGCAACTTGCAAGGCTTAAAATATACTCTCAGGTCCTTTACGGACAGTTTGCCTTCCCCTGGGTTAGTTGATGACGGTAACGTTGACACAGCTGTGAAAATGAAGGACCTGCCTTACACACGGATCCGAAACGAGCTCTAAGATACATACACAGAAAAGGCAAGGTTCAGAAGGGTGCACTTGGTAACTACTGTTTCTGTTTAAAAAGGGGTAAGAACAGATATCATGGGCTTGTGGATGCCTCTCTGGGAGGAGACCCCGACACGATAACGGAGGCTGCTGAGGGGAGGGGGACTGGGGGCAAGTTGAGGGAGGGGAGAAGGAGTTTCCCGACTATGCCTTTATGGAGCTTTTTCAGTTTTGAACTAAGTAAATGGATTACCTACTTAAAAAATGAACCTAAAAAATGTTATTCTTTCCCAACTTTCCTCTAGGAGGGAGCACCCGGTCCTTGGGCCCCCACAGCCCCACATCCGGGCCTTTGCCTCTGCTGTGCCCTCTTCCATTCCTCGGGAGGGCAGTGCCTGGGCTTTAGAACCCACCTCAAGAGGCCCTCCTAGGAGGCCTCCCCCCACCACCCCCAGGGAGATGACCGCCGGCCCTGTTGCACTGCTGACCCCTCCCGGCCACGGCTCGGGCTGCTGGCGTCGCAGGGCAGGGGAAGAGGTGTGGCGGGCCCGCAGGACTCCAGACTGAACCCTCACGGCCGCGTCCTACCTCCTTTCAAAGTCCCGCCCAACTCTGCCCCACAGACGGCAACACATCTGAAGCCAGAGGGAGGCAGGATGCGGGAACCCCACTTATAAATGCGAAAACTGAGACTCAGAGGAGCTCAAGGACTTACAGGGACCCGGGCTGGGATGAGAATGCGGGAGCCCCAGGGAAGGTTGGGGTCCACCCAGCGCTCGGCTGGTGATCGGCTAGTGATCGAGTGCGGAGGCTGGCGGAGACCCCCAGGTGGGGACAGAGGGAGGGAAGCAGCCTCCGGCCTGTCCCTCGTCACTGCCCCGGGCTCTGTGGAACGTGGCTCCTCAGTCCGGTTGGGAGAGACCCATGTCCCAGCTTAGCCTGGGGGCGGGCCTGGACCCCTGGTCCCTGCTCTGCCTTTCTCTCACGGGGAAGGGCACTCGTGCTCTGCAGGCTGCCTCTCGGCCTTTACCAGGGCCATCGTGTGCTTGGAATCCATCCCTCTGCAGGCTCCAGTTACTCATCAGGTCTCAGCGCAATGACCCTTTCCCTGGGACGTCTTCCCTGTCCTGGGTCTGGGTCAGCTGTCCCTTCCTCAATGACTGCTACCTGCATCACTCTATTTCTGAGCATTCTGTCTGTCCAGGAACTCAGGGGCCAGGTCCCTCTGACATCTCCTAGCCCCAGCGCTCAGCATGGCGTGTAGTTCAATGAATACTGACTGCGCTCAGCTCCCTCCCCTCCACCCAGCCCGAGATTCCCACCACCCTGGGTCAGTGAGCCCCGGCAAACATCTCCTCACCTGATTAGCTTTCTCCAGGTTGGTCATGATCAGGCCGACTTCATCTGCCCTGAGACAGAAAGATGAGGCCCTGAGGAAGGGATTCTGGCAGGCACCAGGGTCCCTGCCCTTCCTGAAACTCCCCAGCCCCTGCCAACCCAACGGTCTTGCGATGGAGGCTGTGAGGAGGCTGCCTTCCATCCTTCCTACTGAAGAGGTCAGGCTGTGGGGAAATGAAAATGGGGCCTTAGCACTGGGCCCCTTCTAGGCAGTCTGACCCCTCACCCCCAACTGGGGGTCCACCCTCTGATGCTGCCACCGAACTACACCTCCAGCCTTTAGTTCTGTTGAGGCCTTCCTCAAGAGGACAGGGCTTGAGCTTTATTTCTGTTTAAGACTTTTTTTGATGTGGACCGCTTTTATTTAAAGTCTTTGTTGAATTTGTTACAACACTGCTTCTGTTTCATGTTGTTGTTTTTTGACTGTGGGCCATGTGGAATCTTAGCTCCCTGACCAGGGATTGAACCCACAACTCTGCACTGAGAGGCGAAGTCTTAACCGCTGGACCACCAGGGAAGTCCCCAGGTCCTGAACTGTAAGCCCAGCTGCAGTGTTCTCCTAGGAGGCCTCCCTCAACTCCCCTCATTTATTTCACTGCCTCCCCACACCTCTGGGTTGGCAGGGCCTAGAGGATCAGGACAGGCCTTATCCACCTCGGTTGCCCCCCTATCTAGTGAGGGGTAGGGGGTGGTCTACAGGGAACATGTGGTGACTAAAAGTCACACTTGTGCTGCATGCATGTTCTGCTTCAAGGCCTTCTTTTGCAAAAGCTGTTCCCACTGCCCACAGTACCTTTCCCAGCTTTCTTCATGCGGCCATCACCTTCTCGTTTTTGAGGTCTCGCTCTGAAGGTCACCTCCTCCAGGAAGTCCTCCCTGACTACCCTGGATGACAGGACCCACCTCTCCCTGTCATTCTCTCTTGCTGCTCTCCTGGTTTTTCCCTTCGTAGCATTTACTATGTGCCCCCAGCAGTGTCAGGCATACAGTAAGTGCTCAGCAGTGTCTGCGCATGGAGAATTTATTCCTGTACCTCCGCTAGTGTCTGTCTCTTCTCCTTGACTGAGGACAGGACCATGGTCTGATGTTTCCTCCAAGGACTCATCATAGCAGTGGGTAAACAGTAGGTGCTAACTATTTGTGTTTGAGGATTAAGTGATGTCTTAGAGCCCGAAGAAACGTTGAGCCCAGAATAACTGAAGATGACACTTGGCCCTGGGGGTTGGCTTGTGAAGTTGGGGAGTGGGGACAGCCCCAGGAGGATGGGGCAAGAAGCCTCTGAGCAATCGAGTGGGCTGGGCCGGCAACCCAGAATGTCCTTTAGAGTCTGTGGTGCGTGGACGGCCCCACGAGTGACTGGTGAACAGCTGTGGGCCTGTGCGAGTGTGGAACACGGGGTGCGAAACGAGTGCCTCCGGCAGAGTCAGAGGGAGGAGGCTCAGAGGGAGGAGGCACCCCTCAGCAAGGCGCCCACTTACTTGGACGCCGCCTCCTCGTCGTACTTCCGCCGCAGTTCCAGCAGCTCTGTCTGCGTGGCCTTTAACGCTGAGAAAGATTAGAGCGCCAGGGTGAGGTCCTCCGCCCCCAGGGCGGGGGGACTCTCCCCCCTTCTGCAGAGCCCAGAAGGCAGGATGAGGCTTGGGGCAGTGAGCAAAGATTTTCCTCTCGGAACTGGCGACAGTGAGTGAGTTTCCTGCTCCTAGAAGGGCTTCAAGCGGGTGGGAGGGCTGTGGAGTGGCCGGGGTGGGGAGGCAGATGACGTGATTCTCTGGGAGTCCATGAAGCTCTGGGGACCCAGGTAAGTGGAGGGGGTTGTCAGTGCCAGAACCCGGGGTATGAGCCCCTAACACATTGAGGTCACTCCAGGACCTAGGTGGGGCCATCCTTCCATGAGCTTACCCACCCTGAGGTCTTGCCTGGAAGTGAGGGGGACAAGGGCGAACAACAAAGTCAATAGGTACATGCATGATAAATAAGGATTTCTCACAGAACTCCAGATTTCTGATTTCTTGAGGAGAGCGGAAGGGACTGGCCGTACTGAGCAGCGCCTGGCTGAGACTCAGCAACGGCCGCCTCTTTAGATGAGGCCTGGGTTCCCCAGTTTGACCCAGACCCCTCCCCTCTTCCCGACTTCACTCTCTGATCCAGCCGGCTTGGGTGCTTGTCCAGCCCCAGTGGGCACTGCATTTGCTGCCCCTGATTTAATTCTATCTCAAACCCTCTTTTCACAGTAGCATGACCCCTGGAATTGGAGCTCCAATCCCCATGGGGCAATGCAGGTCTTTCCTCTCCCTTCCCGAACGCCTTTCTTGCCCTCTGAGTCTTCTTAGAGTCATTGCCCCCTCCTCCCCCCACTGGACCTCCTGCACTGACTGGCCGGGGTGCTGTGTGGGCAGGGGACACGTGCCACATACATACCTGAATGTAGGACCTTGATCTTCTCCTCGGCTTCCCCCAGTCTGGCTGCCAAAGTGATCTGTACTTCTTGAAGGCCCCTGTGAAAACACCTGGCATGGGGACCAGCCCTGCCTGGCTTCCTGTACCCTCACCCACTCCCTGTAACCTGCACCTGGGTCTTTTTAATGAGTCCTGAGACATGACACGCAGGCGCCTGGCTGCCCTGCTCTTTTGCTGACAGTGTGGCCTCCATTACAGCTGAGGCCCAGTTAAGCTTCCAGTGACTCTGCCTCTCTGGCCCTCAATTTCCTCATCTATAAAATGGGGTTTGTCGCAGAGAGAAGCCCAAGCACCACCATGAAGAGTAGCCCCCACTCGCTGCAACTAGAGAAAGCTGGTGCAAAGCAACGAACGTCTAACGTGGCCAAAAATAAATAAATAATAATAAAAATGGGGTTTGTGACGGAGTCTGCCTCACTGGGTATTATGAGGCGTGTTCAGCAGGGTGCCCAGCCCCCAGAATTCCCACAATACCACTGTTTACTATTATTGTCCCCTGGAGAGGTGATTTTTTTCACTTTCTGTGGCAGGAGTTTGGGAAGCCCTGCCAGCCCCCTGTGGCCTAACTCAGGTGTGAGGCAAGCAATTCATCAGAGAAAGAGGACCTCTCTCACTGCGCTGGGGGAGGGTTTATGCAAAGCCTGAGCCTTACCTTATTCTGGCTCAGTGACTCCAGGGAAGGAGCCTTGTTTACCCTGATCTTATCCTGCCCTCTCCCCTCCTTGCCATTCAAACACATCAGGCACGTTCCTGCCTCAGGACCTTTGCACTGACTGTTCCTTGCCCCATATGCCTGCAAGACTCCCTCAACTCCTTAGGGCTTTGCTCACTCTATTCTATAGGAAATCAACCCTGAATATTCATCAGAAGGACTGATGTTGAAGCTGAAGCTCCAATACTTTTGCCACCTGATGCGATAGCCGATTCATTGGAAAAGACCCTGATGCTGGGAAAGATTGTGGGCAGGAGGAGAAGGGGGCAACAGAGGGTGAGATGGTTGGATGGCACTGCCAAATCAATGAATGTGAATTTGAGCAAATTCTGTAAGATAGTGAAAGACAGAGAAGCCTGGTGTGTTGCGGTCCATAGGGTTGCAAAAAGTTGGACACGACTGAACAAGAACACCTTCCCAGTGAGACTTCCTCTAACACTCTGTTGAAAACTTCAGCCCGTCTCTTCTGCTCCCTGTTCTGTTTTATCTGTTGTCACAGTCTTTATCATCTAGTACACTACTTATTTATCTTTTTTATTTGTGTCTTCCTTATAAGAAAGTAAACTCCAGGAAAGCAGAGAGTTTTGTCCATTTTGTTCACTGCTCTTCCCTAGAACAGTGCCTGGCACACAGTAGGTGGTTCCATAAATAAGTGGGATGAAAAAATGATCATCAAGAAACTGTCTTAGAAAGGCCTTAAGAACGCATATTTTATCAACACTGCACTAACTGTAAAGGCAAATATTTACTGACATGTGCCATGTGAGCACTGAGCTAAGCATGCAGAGGCACCATCTCATTTCATTCATTCTCAGGGCAGACTAGGAGTTGATATGGCCTGTGACAGTCAGTGTTATACATCTATTTGGCTGGGCTATAGTACCCAGTTATGCAAACACACACTGATACAAGTATTGCTGTGAAGGGATTCTGTAGATGGGGTTAACATCTACAATCAGTTGATGTTAAGTAAAGGAAACTATTTGCAACAACAGGGTGGGCCTCATCTAATCAGTTGAAGGTCTTAATTTTTTTTTTTTAAATTAAAAAAATTTTGGCATGCTGCACAGCATGTGGGATCTTAGTTCCCCAACCAAGGATCAAACCTGTGCCAATGCGATGGAAGCTCAGAGTCTTAACCACTGGACCGCCAGGGAAATCCCCCTTTTAAAATTTTTTTAATTTTTTTTTGTTGTTGTTGCTGTCGACAGTCTTAAGAACAAAACTGAACAAGAAATTTCATCTCAAGATGGCAGCCGGCACTGACTTCTGCCTGACAATTTCCAGCCTGCTGGCCAGCTCTACCAGTTCAGACTTGCCAGCCTCAATCATGTGAGTTAGGTCCTGGAAATACAACTCTTAATTAAAAAAAAAAAAATCCTACTGGTTCTGTTTCTCTGGGGAACCATGACTAACATACCACCATTAGCCCCATTTTCCAGATGGGGACACTGCGGCTCAGTGAGGTGGTGTGACCGGCCCAGGGCGGGTCACTGAGCTGCTGACACGTGGTGTGAACGCAGGCCGGCATCTCCATCTTCAAACTGCATCTGGATTCCCCAAGGGCCCTGGCAGGGGTGACTTTCCAGGCCCCCTCACCCAGACAGGTGGAGCAGCAGGGGCCCGCCCATCCTTCCCAACTCACTTTTGTTTCTCTGCCTCATTTCTCTGCAGCAAAGTTTCTGTCAGGAGGGCTTTGCTGGGAATGCCTGGGAGGCGGCTCGCCTCGGTCAGCGTGGGCCCGGCTGGTGACGTCCCCTCTCTCTGCTCTGAAGGAAGAAGAAGAGGGAAAACTGCCCATTGCTGAGAGCGGCGTGACGACCAGAGCCGCTTTCTGCAAACGAGATCGATCAGTGGTTCTGGGAGAATCAATTTCCCAAACTCAGCACTGGAGACAGCGCAGCTGTCAGACCTGCTGTCACCATGACTGGCTGAGTTGCAGCCTTGGCGAACACCTGCATAAGAGAGTCAGACTCCCATCGCGTGGGCCCTGGGCGGCACACCCAGAGGTTCCTTTGCCCTCTCAGACCTGTCCCTGCCTCCTTGGCCTTCTATATGATTAAAAAAAATCATGGTAAAATACACATAAAATTCACCATTTTAACAATTTTAAAGTACACAATTTAGTGATACGTAGTATAGTCAAAATACTGTGCAATCATTATCAGTAATTCCGGGACACTGTCATCACCCCAAAATGAAATTTGTCCCCATTAAGCAGACACTCCCCACTCCCTTCCCCGGCTGACAATTGTTCTGCTTTCTGTTGCTATGGATTTGTGTATTTTGGATATCTCCCATCGCTGGAATCATAACATATGTCCTTTTGTGACTTGATTCTTTCACTTAACATATCTTCGAGGTTCATTCAAGTTGGACCATGTGTCAGTGCTTCATTCCTTTTTTATGGCTGGATAATATTCCATTTTATGGATATATCATATTTTGTTTTTTTCCCATTCATCCACTGATGGGCATTTAGATTATTTCTATCATTTAGCTACTGTGAACAGTGCTGCTATAAACATTTGTGTACAAATTTTGCCTGAGCACTTGTTTTCAGTTTTTTAGGGTATATCCCTAGGAGTGGAATGGTGGGGTCACAGGGTCACTCCAGATTTAACCTACTGAGGACCTGCCATGCTGTTTTCCCTTCCCCATGATTGATGGCACACACTCAGATGTTCAGTCATTACCCCTCACCTGCAGGTCCATCTTTGCAAACGCCCATGGGGGCTCATTTGGAGACCAGTGTGTGCCTTTGGCGCTAAGTTCACAGAGAGGGAGATGCCCAGGGGCCAGCTATCCAGGGTGAGCGGCTCAAGAGTTCCAAAATTTGGTCTCCCAACCACGGGTCCATGTGACTCTAAAGTTAAATTCTGTCCTGGTTATAAGGTTTCTACTGTGAGCCTGGCATAGGAGGGTGAGTGTAGACCTGGGCGGTTTGTAGAGTGAGTCCCCTGAGAGGCTGACAGAGCGGTCAGCTTATAAGACACACGTAACACGTGTGCACACATGGTCTGGGAATGTTTCAGATGCTGAGGCCACAGCAGTGAACAGAAAAGCAAGGTTTGACCATCCTGATGCAGATAATAAGGGTCCTCAAGAAGAAACACAGCCCAGGGCCAAGGTCAGAAATTTTTGTTCTGATTCCCTACTTGGCTACCTGCTGCTTCTGTGACTCAAGTTTCCCCATCTGTAAAATGGGGCCAGTGACACCTCAGAAGATTGATACCAGGAGACAGTGAGCTGCTGTGTGAAAAGCACACCGCACAGAGCAAATGCTCTCATGAGGCAATTTCCACAACTACTACTAATATTATTCTTAGAGAAGGAAGTTCAAACCTCAGAGGAAGCGGTGACAGCTTTGCTGGGGAACCTCAGAGGCTTCATAGAGGCATACATATGAGCAGGAGCTGAAGAACTGCCTGGGCTTGTCTGGGTAGTTGGAAGGGTATTCCAGGTGCAGGATCAGAGCTGGCAAAATGCTGTTATTTTAGTCACTGTTAAGTATTCCCCAGAAGACCCTGCTTAGGGCCAGGCTTACAGCAGGTGCTCACTATGCAATGTGGGGGAGGGGAGAAGAAAGGATGTTGAGAAATGGGGGAGTGTGAAAGTGGTTGTTTCCTGAAAAGTGACTTTGTGTCATGCTTCCGTTTGACAGGCCTCAGCCCATTTTGTCTTCACTACATGCCAAATCTGGCTCGTTACCTGTTTTGTCAATAAAGTTTTACTAGAATAAAGCCATACCCCCAAATTAATATGATAATTCACATATTATCCATGGCTGCTTTCACCCAGAGTTAAGTAGTTGTGATAAACTGCATGACCTGCAACATCAAAGATGATTACTTTCTAGCCCTTTTCAGAAAAAACTTACAGACCTGAGATAAACCCTATTCATTCATTCCTTAGACAAGAAGCCTTTAACCCGACTCTTCCCCAATTCTCTGCTTAATTTTTTTCCCAAAGACTTTTCACCAACTGACATACTTTATATTTTACTAATTTATTTGTTGACAATCTGTGTCTCCCTCTAGAAGGTCAACATGATGAGGGCAGAGATTTTTTTCTGTTTTATTCCTGGCTGGGTCCCTAGTGCCTACCACAGAGCCTGGCATGCAGGTCAGTGAACATCCAAGACTGGGATGGTTACCAACGCTTTCACCTGTTATTTGCTCTCCCTATGGTGACTTCATACCTTACACATTACCTTCCAGAGGTTATCACATGCTGAAATTTTGTTCATTGTTCTCTTGCTTTTAAACATTTTATCACAACATATGTACACCTAAAGACTATAATACTTGTCTCATTCGGAGCTGAGACAGTGCTGTGTTCCTACACCCTGTTTCCCCTCTCCTCCTGCGCACAGACTACATTTCCCAGCCTCCTTTGCAGCAGAGTGTGGCCACGTGACTGAGTTTTGGCCAATGGGATGTGGCCAAGGCGATGCTGGCCACTCTCAGGACTGGACCCTACAAAGCTCAGTGTGATCCTCCACATTATTTCTCTGCCTCTTGACCAGACGTCACACATGCACTGTGACTGTGGATGTTGAGTGTTGACGACCACCGCCTGGGTCCCTAAATGACTGTGGACCATCCCCTGAAAGTTCTCCTCCCTTCAAATGCATTAAGCCTCTGAAATTTGGGGTCGGCCTGTTTCATCAAAAGTGTACCTTAACCCGTCCCACTTCTAAAATGATAAAAGTTGAGTTTCCTGCCCCTCTTCCCCCCACAGGGGTGGCAGAGTTTGGCTGCCAAAGATTCACAGCCCATTTGCTTATTATGGACATTCTGTGAGAGCCTTATCTGTGTACCTTTGGTGCCGACGAGCTCGGGGTGTCTCTTCCACGCAGCGTGGAGCTCTCGCCGCGGGGGCCCACTGGGGTCGAAGCTGGGGGGCTGCAGTCTGTCGTCTGGGCTGCGTGCCACCTCAAACACAGGCACAGGGTCTGCACAGAGAAAGGAGGACAGTGGTAGGGGAAGCTCTGCGGGTCAGGGAGCTTATGTGGGAGGAACCATCCATTGGAGCCATCTGAAATCTCTCTGCTGGCTTATGGGAGCATTGCGGACTTTCTGCTTTACGAGGGAGCAGAGTTTCTCCAGGCACCTGCTCTGAAGAACCTGTGCTGTTCCCATGGGTGTGGATGTCCTGCCCAGCTGGGAATAATAACAATAATTGTTATAATAACTGCATTCTGTTGATTCTAGATGCCATCTGTGGTGGCCATGAGATGGCGTCTTGCACACCTCCAACCAGAGGGAGTGTCACTTAGCAAGGACCCCAGCAGGCATGCTCTGAAATTCATCAGTCCAAGTGCTCCCTTCTCAGGGAACTTCCCAGACAAGGCAGTGGGGATGGGGGCAGACCTGCCTGGGGGATATGGAACTGCTCTGAGGACTGGCCCATGACCTCACCCAGGACTTCCTTCCTTAGGCTTTCACTCACTTCCCCACTTCTCCTCACTCTCTCCCTATTTTCCTTCACCCAAGGTTCCCTAATAACATCCTTGCACATATAATCCTTGCGGTGCTTTTCAACAGATCTGGGCCAACACATCATCTTTTGTGAACACTTATGGTTGATTAAATGATTTTTTTTTTTTCTGGGAACCAAATACAAACTTGGATATAAGATGTCTTCAAATGTCCCAACAGCAAAAAAATTGAGGACTGCAGGTCTTTCCACCCGGAATTCTGTCCCAATTGCTGTCAGCGAGCAAGCACTTCCTCTTCCTTCAGATCTAGAATCCAACCAACTCTTCTTCCAGCAGCTCTCCACTTGGGGCAGGTGGTTGGTGGAGCATCTTCCAGGTTACAAAGTCAGTCCCTGGGAACTGATTCCCATGATGCACCCAGCATCCTCTGGAGGCTGGCTTAGATCTAACTTGTTTTCACAGATGAGGAAACTAAGGTTCAGAGAAGCCAGGCGATTTGCTGAAGAGTGGAGGAGAGACTCAAGTCTGGGTCTCTTTCTCTAATGCCACAAAGACTTCCTGTCCCAGTGCTCTGGATATTTCAACCCCGGTAGCCACGTGTAGGAAGAGGCTTCCCTGGTGGCTCAGTGGTAAAGAACATGACTGCTAAGGCAGGAGACATGGGTTTAATCCCTGGGTTGAGAAAATCCCCTGGAGAAGGAAGTGGCAACCCACTCCAGTATTCTTGCCTGGAAAATCCCATGGACAGTGGAGCCTGGCATGCTAGAGACCATGGGGTCACAAAAGGGTCGGACACAGCTTACTGACTAAACAACAACAGCCACATGTAGGTGGGTGTTCATGGGGCCCCAAGAAAGCTAGGGCCTCCTAGCTTCAGGCCAAGGGGGCTGGTCTGTTCCACAATTTTTTCTAACACCCAAGAGCCCCCTCTCTTTCTGGTTCCTCCTCTGAGATCTCCCATGAGCATCTGCTTGGCCACTACTCTCTCCTGGTGCGGACCCTGGAGTCAGACATCCCTGGTCCAAATCGAATCCATACTTGCTTTTCAGGATTGCTGTGTGACCTTGGCAAGTGGTGCGGCCTCTCTGTGCCTCACCACAAAAGTACCAACCTCATGAGCCTGTGATGAAGGTTCATGCAAAGTCCTCAAATGGTGCACGGCCCTTGGTCAGCTCAGAACACATGGACGCTCTTGCTATTTTCCCTGCCCTTCTGAGTGCCAACATACTGACCTTCTTCTCTGAGTCCCTCAAATGCACCTTCCCATCCCAGAGGCTTTGTACAGCCAGGAGGCTTCTGCCAGGAACACCCTGCCCTCCTCTGTCCCTTTCAGCTAGTTGATGTGTACTCGTCTTAGCAATTCAAATGCCAGTTCTTCCAGGAAGCCTTCCCTGACCAGCTAGCTGGTTTTTCGGTATGCGCTCTCCCAGCTGTCTGCACCTTTCTTCCAAAGCAGTGGCTGTACTTCCAATTTTCAATGATTTACAAGTGCACCTAGAGAATACCCGCTGGACTGCAAACTCCACACGAGGCAGGGCTGGGACCGCATCTCCTTTTGCTCCACTGGACCCCTTGTGGGTGAATGACGCCTGACCCACAGTCCAACCCAATAAATATCTGCTGATGGAAGAAACAGGGTAGAGCCTATACTTGGGGGTCTTCAGGTCTGGCTGGAACAAGGCCACCGCTGCATTTTCTCCCTCTCCTCCCGCCTGTCTGTTGAGGTGGTGGGAGGCTCGGACAATGGGCGTTTGTGTCGAGGTAAGCAGGTGCACGGGAACGCCGCTGCGTCTTTCCTCTGTCAGCACTCCCCCCACGCCCCGTCATTAGGCAGGGCCTGCTCAGCGGGGTATGCCATTATGTCTCCCCGGGCTGATGTAATTATACATTGACATAATTAACCCAGCAAGCGCATTAGGCAGGCCAGCTAAAAATTCATCTATAATTATTTGTTGTGTGCATGCTAATGAGTCCATCTGCACTGCCTTTGTACAACACGGACAAATTAATTTACAAGTCTGGATTTTTTAATAAGTTCAAGGAAACGCTTCCTATTGTGTCCTGGTTTTTGAGAAAAGAAGAAACAGGCGACAAGCGCTTGCCAGGGTCAGGGAGGTTAGATAAACACGGAGGCCGCAGCTCGGGAGCGGGCATGGAGGGCTCGCTCTGGTTCCAGGAGGTGGAACAGATCCAGCTCATGGCTCAGGGGCTGGCTGGCCAGGAGCCTGTCCAAGCCAAAAGACACCGCTCGGGTGAGAAGGGATGTCATTTACCTCATTCCCAGGGATCAGAAATGGAGGTCTGTTCTGCTCGGAGGCCCTGTGGTCATTCTTTGTTGCCCGATACTCTCTGTTCAGGGGAAGCTAACCTCAGGTGACCTCTGGAGAGGCTAGAGGAGTGGGGGGCGGGCAGTGACACTCTACGGGGTCAGCGGGTTCCCGGGCTCTGCTCTTTGCCTTCATTTGCCCATACAGGGTAGAAAAAAAAAGTGTAAGTGAAAGTTAATCGCTCAGTTGTGTCTGACTCTTTGTGACCCCATGGACTGTAGCCAGCCAGGTTCCTCTGTCCATGGGATTCTCCGGGCAAGAATACAGGGTAGAACATAGTGATGACACTCTCAGAACCTGAAGTCCAGCGCTGGTCGTGAGCCTCAGTTTTCCCACTAAAAAGTGGGAAAGTGAAACAGTTTCTGCTTCTCAGAAGTTACTATTGGGAAGACTGAAAATGATTATTGAGAGAGGCAGCGTGATTTAAGGACTGCTGGTGTCAGCTCCAGCTCCAAACTGGCCATGTGACCTTTGGACTGCTGGGTAACCTCTCTAAGCCTCTATTTTCTGATCTGTAAGATGGGACTGCAAGGACTGGATGAGAGGATGAGATTTGCACAGTGCTGGGTGGAGAGGAGGGCCAGACACAGAGCTAGCTGCTGTTATTACCCTGAGAGGGCAGCACACCTGACCCCACAGTGTTCTAGCAGTGGCGATCCATGGCAAAACGCCATGGAGACTCAGGACACGGTGAAGCCTCATATACGTCAGCGTCTGGGACACTCGGTCCAACAGTCCTGCTTTGAACTCCACCCAGGGACTGAATGGCTCCAGCTTAGAAGGTCACCCAAGGAGGGACGATCTGTCCATTGTCCAACTCCCCCCCGCCCCCCGACCCCAGAGCAGAGTGGGGAAAAGTAGAGTCCCGTGACTTCCCTGAAGTCTGAAAGTGAGGGTGTGCTAGGGCCAAGATGGGCCTTTGGGCCTCTTCTCCCCACACTGTGCTTCCTCCCGGATCCCCCGTTGGAGAGAGAAAGTGAGGGGAGGTTCAGATGACAGCCAAAATCAGGCAGTGGATGAATCCTAACAGCCAGACCACTTTACATGGATTAGAATTCATTCCATCTTCACCACAACACTGTTAGGTGGGGCTCTTGTGTTCCTAGTCCACAGATGGGGAAACAGAGGCATGGCGGGGGGCCGGGGGGGTGGGCGTGTGGAAGTCACTTCCCCAAGGTGAGGCCCGATAAAGGTAGCTGCTGCTACTTCCATTTTTTAAGACAAGGAAATGAAGGCCCGGAGAGGAGATTCTATGTGCCCAAGAACGTTAGCTCAGAAGTGGCAGGGGTGGAGTCTGAACCAGAGAGCCTGATGACTCTCGGCAGTGGACCAGGCTGCCCCGAGGTACGGCCTGGCGGATCATCAGGCCAGAAGCACGACACTGGGGGCTCTGTTCCTGGCCTTGCCGCCGGCTGGCTGGGTGACCTGGACAAAGCATCCGAGTTCTCTGAGCTCCACCTTCAAGTTTGTCTGATGAGCCGACCCCAGGCACACGCTCAGTCAGCACCGGATGTCACCAGATAGGCAAGGTCCTGCCAAGTGAGTGCTTTTGGCCCTGGGCCTATTCCATGGAGCTGGGATGCTAAGGGAGGGTGATTAATAAACGGCTTCCCAGCTGAACTTGACACTCGAGGTTTGGATGTTGTGAATCCTCCGAATTCCCACAGCCTCTCACAGATAAAAGAGAGAGGGGGGCAGGCTGGGAGGCTGGCGGTCAAATCCTGGCTGTGACAGCCTCAGGGAAAGTCACATAGGTCCGCTGAGCCTCAGTTTCGCTGTCAGTATAACGGGAATAACAACGGGATCTACCGCAGAGGGCGGTGCAGGGATGCATGAGCGCGCCGAGCTTCTGGGACAGTGCCTGACCCCTAACAGGCTCTAAGTGAGTGCTGCCCTAATTCTTATGCCTTGTGGCAGTGTGGGATCAGAGCCAAGCATCAGCCTGCTCTGATGCAGAAGGCATCTGCAAGCCAGGAAAAGAGCTCTCACCAGAAACCAGCCCTGCTGGCACCTTGATCTTAAGACTTGTAGCCTCTAGAACATTGAGTAATAAAAACCTTGTTTAAGTCACCTGGTTTGTGGTGTTTTCTTACAGCAGCCTGAGCAGATTGGTGTATCCTGCTTTGGGGCTCCCGTTAGCTTGGCTATAGACTGTTTTGAGATCCGCACTGCGGTGTGAGATTCCTC